GGCTTTATAGTTTGCTTATTTGGTATGGAAATATGAAGTTATAAGAGAATAAACATGGGAATTGATAAGAGTTGCCGAAGGGGAAGAAAATGGTAGGTGGAAATGGGTTTTTGCTGTAAGGTGCAAGTTATATGGCTTAGTAGTAAAATGCATAGCAAGGTTGGTGGCCATAGGGCACACCTAGACATACGGTATTTTTACATGGAGACCTTTGCTTTTGTTGGAAAGATGAATACCGTACATATGTTGTTGTCATTGGCAACTAACCTTGGGTGGGACTTGCCGTAGTTTGATGTAAAGGTTGGTGGTCAAAGGGCACACCCAAACATGCGGTATTTTTACATGGAGACCTTTGCTTTTGCTGGAAAGATGAATACTGTACGTAATTTGTTGTCATTGGCAACTAACCTTGGGTGGGACTCGCCATATTTTGATGTAAAGAATGCATCCTTTCATAGTGACCTTGAAGAAGAAATTTTATATGAAGGTCCCACCTAGTTTTGAGTCGAAATAAGTAATGGTGTGCAAGTTAAAGAAAACACTCTATGGACACAAGGAGTCACCACGAGTCCTGGTTTGGGAGATTCACTAACGGGGTGAGTGTCTACTCTTGGGTATGAGCAAAGTCAAGGAGATCACACTTTGTTAACGAGACTCTCCGATTCCCGTAAAGCGACAAGATTGTTAGTTTATGTTGATGATATTAACATGTAATGATGTAGAAGAAATATACAATTTAAAGCAATGTCTCTTTAAGGATCTAACAGCAAAGAACTAGGAGAATTAAAGTATTTTTTACGAAGTAGCACATTCAAAGCAAGGAATTTTCCAGACATGTGCTCTATTTGTTGCAAGAAACAGGGACGATGGGCTGTAAACAGTGGTACTTTTACTGAGAGTTTAATCAGAGTCTTTGTGATGCCTCATATGATCTAAGGGTGGATAGAGGGTTCTACCAAAGACTTGTTGGAAGATTTATTTAAGACATACAAGACCGGGCATTGCTTCTGTGGTAAGTGTGATCATTTAGTTCATGTACAACCCTAAGGAAATGCATATTAAGGCGGTACATAGAATACCGAGTATCTAAAGAGTAGCAATGGGAAAGGGACCTTTAAGAAAAGGGGGAAAGCTTGACTATAGAAGTGTATACTGATGCTGATTATGGTGGCTTGCTTGTGAATAAGAGATCAATCACCCATTATTGTATTCTGGGTGGAAACCTTGTAACGTGGAGGAGTAAGAAGTAGAATGTGGTGTCAAGATCAAGTGCAAAATATGAGTTTAGGGCAATGGCCTAGGGAGTATGTAAATTATTATGGTTAAAGATAGTTCTTGAGGATTTGAAGATGATGGCGAAAGGTCCGATGAGATTATAATGTGACAAGTCAACCATCAATATTGCTCATAGCCTTGTACAACATGATTGAACACATTGAAATCGATTGACATTTTATCGAAGAAAAACTTGTTAGTCATCTTATTTGCACCCAGTTCGTCCTATGAAGGATCAAGCAGCCGAAGTACTCACTGTGAAGTACGATGTTTCAAGAAATAATTTGTATATTTGAATGGAAGACATCCATTCACTAGCTTGGGAGTATATATGTATATGTGTATATATATATATATATATATATATATATATATCCCGTTGTAAGCCAAAGAGAATAATTGAATTATTCTTACTTTGAGAGTTCACGTCACAAACTACAATGGCACCTTATTTCTTTGCTTCGTCCTTATGATTCTTCTTTTATATCCAATGTAGATTTTTAATTCTAGGTAGGTTGGTTGGCTTACCTAAGTTCAAGCTCTAGTCAACTAATTAATATGAAGTTTGATTTGATACGTAGAATGTAGATTGTTTTTTTTGGTATGATGCCAAACATCTTAGGCATGGATTGGGAGATCCTATGCTTTGCAAAGTGATTCCTCAAAATGCCAGTTTGCTAGGACACTGTTCAAGCTCATATAAAGAATGTCCAAGATGATAAATTTTGGAGCTGCCTCATGAACCAGAAAACCAGTCTAAACGGTTGTATACCTCATCAAGATAGCTATTAACAAATTGATTATTGATATGTCATGGACAAAGAGGCTAATGATTAAGAACGATGTGGTAATACGAATGTGAACAAAGTCATTTTGGGATAGGAGAAATTATATCCTCATAATCAAGATCATAGGCCACATAAGAACATCATCTATCAATGGGGTTTTTAGGTGGTGAAGAGAACTGTTGTGATGCAAGTTGAGTTTAAAAATTGATGTATGCAGCACTTCCCTTTTTGAAGATATTGAACCCAAATTCAAGAAGTGTGGCTTTCTTCTATTTGATAGTATTATACTATCCTGGATGCCAAGGTATCTTTCAGATGATCTTGGGGATAAAATGCCTCACAATAGCTGAGGTGAATGTACAATATTCGAGTAAATGGTTTGAACAGCTATATATATCATGTGGATAGGATGTTTAGTGCATGCATGGCAATGGAAGTAATGGTTGGAGGGTAAAATGTACGTGAGAGGACACAAAGTAGTATCAGGAACTTGTTTGGCCACATGATTCAGAATATAGCCAATTATTTGGGGGAACTAGAAGGCTATGAAATATTATAGATGGGATAAACTGCTTAGGTAAGGGTAAAGATATGGTATGAACCACAAAAGGAACTACTTGATATGTATTATACACATGGAGTACCAAGATGGTTGTTGCAGATGATATTTGTGTAGGATGCTGGCTTGATTTTTCAAGATATCCCCTTGTAGATAAGATAATCCATAGGGAGAAAGAGAGATGGATCTTTGACTTGCTAAGACTAACATTAGAGGAAGTCAAACATCTTTTGATGGTAGGATTGTAATGATAGTAATCCAAGAGTATCAAAACAGATATGGAATATAGTTTGTAAACAGATTTGCCTCATGTAATGGACAAATAGAACACATAAATAAACACAAGTTGAGAACAAGATAATATACTTCTTTTACACACTTATTTAACTAAATGACTAGTTTCATTCTCTATTTATGCAATTACTCAAAAAGATTGAAAGGCTTCCTTCAAGTTAAGAAAATTCGATAATTGAAACCAAGTAGAAAAAAGTAGATTATTCTCTGTTTATGTTCTGAAATGCTTAGTTCAACAATTAGTTGCTAAATGAAAGGTGGGGATGTTAAACTCCTATTAAAGTTCCTAACTAATCGAAGTGGTGTTTGTGTGTGTGTTTGGGGGGGGGGGTTGCTTATTAGTTGCTGACTGCTTAAATGGCCCTAGGCGGGTATCCTTTTTAGCTCTATTACCATGAAACTATGTATGGTTTAAAAATAATTTTCTGGATAGAGATGGCTTAAAAAGTTGTTTATTAGTAAGGAGAGACCTTTAGCATATATAGGCCGTTTGTGGGCTCATGAACATGAACACATAAAATATACATGTGATACGTACCCCTAGTATTATAATCTATCCTTTTATTGCAATCAAATCCCCCAATCTTTAATCTTTGATACATACCGACTTTTAAACAATTCGAATTGTTTAGTGATTACAAGCTCTAAAAGTTGATGCATATAAAAATCAGTTTACAGCCTCATTCCAAATAGAAAACACATGTTAACATACTCATGTAATCAAATTTCAAAAGTCCTATTTCCGCCGGTGGTTTGTCACCCCTGTCCGGTATTATTTCGGATCCCTCATCAAGACGGCATTGATTGAATGGGTACTTCGTGAGACCCAAAGGGCTGGGCAGTCGAGAGCTGCTGTTTTACCTTTGCCGAACTTATTCCAAGAGAGCTCAGATCGAATCGATATTGCTATCCAAGCGCTAAAGGTCAACCCTTATCTCATTGATCTCCCTTCGGTCATCAATCCCATAATTTTTAATTAAAGAGAGTACCTTGGAATTGAAATTAACTTCCCCCCTACCCAATCTACAGGGTGACCCCATGTCATGGTATTACCGCCTTAATGATTTATATTCTATCAAACCTTGTTTTAACCGCAAAAGACATGTTCTAGCTTCTTGATGGTAAAATCGTCGGTGAACCATATTTACTTTAAGTTTTAGTGAATTACATGAACCATAACGTAAAATCACATAGTTAACATGTATGAGGCATGTTTCTAGTTCTAAAGTCCAAGTAGAAACCATGGAAAAACACTGAATTTTAGTATGTATCGCCGGTTAAGACGACCAAAGTCAAAACACATAATCACCTGCTGCTTTGACTACTAAAAACTGCAGAAATCAACTTTTTTTGGTTTCAACTTCAGCTCCTACTCTTGCTTAGTTTGTATGTATGTATTTTCTGCTGGAGGTTGTAGTAAATTGAGCCAAAAACAAGAATGAGGCTCCTATTTATACCGAAGGTTGAGGAACTTGGAACTAGGTTAGCCGCCTCCCATGCACTACATGCCACCATAGAACACCTCAACCTGCTACTGACATCCCCTTTTTTTGTCTTTAGTACTAAAGATAACTATTTTACAGTCCCTTCTTCATTATTCTCTTATTATTTAACAAACCCTTCTTTTATTATTTAACAGCAGCCCCTTTTCCTGTGTATAATTTTCTTTTAAAATCAGGCTGTTACATTTCACACGCCTATCTCACTTTGGCCCATCCAGTCGTGTCTTTCCTTCGACGAATTTCAGCTATGACCAATGTGCACCAAACACACCTATTGCTAGGTGGGCAGCTTTGGTGCTTGTTCTGAAGGTCTTATCAAGTGGGTTTTTAAGCTTGGCACTCTTTCTATTTTACCTTAACACCATGATATAAAAGGACCAGCACTTGTTAACAAGAACCAAAGGAAGAACAATTAAAAGAACAAAATGAACTGTTGCATGAATTCTGTCATTGTTTTATAGATGTATGGTACAGCAGTTCCACATTTTACTAGACCTCATGAATATTGTGACACATTAAATTACCATCACTTTCCTTCCAATTTCATTTTCCGCTCTTTGGTTAACTAATGGCACGTAACAGGTATGCGCATGGTGTGCTCGGATTGCATCTTCACTTACTGTCCGTTCCCACAAAGAAGATCGTTTCGGGGTTGCCCAACTCTCTGGTAGCAATGCTGCAACCATCTCCACCCTTCTGGCTTGCTTATTAGCGGTCGAAACTTTAATGGGGAAGAAGACTAACCTCCAATCATCAACCCAATATTTAACGGGTCCTGCCAATATCAAATGGGCGGCATTGAGCCCGGCAAGGAGAGATGCAATGACAACAAATGGCATGACAGCAAATAAGAAAGATGGCCCTCATTACTCAAAAGCATATTCCATGGCTGACATTCTTAGGACCTCAATCTACCAAGTTGTGTCCAATTTCCATCAAGAAATGGTTAGCAGTTCTAAAGCTGGATTGCTTGAGAAGGACTGGATCGTTGCAGGTAAACCGCTGTATGAAAACCATGAGCTTCTTGTGCAGAAGCTACGGCTGTTTCTTGAATTTCAAGCTAACTAGTGGCACCACCTCCTTGCTAGCGGCACCACCACCCCGTCCGAGTGAAGAGATCAGTTCTGTTGAAGAAGTGTTGGGGAACTAATGATGTGAATTACATTCTGCCTTTCAGTTTGTCTTTTGCAACCATTGTAATGTACAAACATATGATGTTGAAGACGCTCAAAACAAAAGCAATTGAATTCGTCATCTCTGGGTTTTTTTTTTCCGTTTTCCTTTTTCCTCTTAAAATCATTTCCTTGAGGCTATGCAGTTTCATGATCATTCCTATATTTTTGATTTTTTTATTTAATCAAATTATCTACAAAAATGGTTGGTGGAACATAGATCAAATATATATATGGGTTTAAGTAATCTCCCAAAACCCAATTCGTTTCCGATCCCTTTCTCCCTTTGGGTCTCTCGGTCTCTCACCACCTCACCCGTTCGGCTCTCTCCCTGTGTCGCCGACTATCTCTCTCGTTCGGCCCCTCGACCCGAATACCACCACTTGCCGACCGCCACTAACCGAAGACAACACAACCCACAGACCGACCCTCTCATATCCCTCCCTCGCCGACTTCCCTCTGCCACCGACCATCTCTCTCGTTCGGCCCCTCGACCCGAATACCACCACTTGCCGACCGCCACTAACCGAACACAACACATACCCACGGACCGACCCTCTCACCTCCCTCCCTCGCCGACTCTCACTCACCCCAAATCCACCCGATTCTCCTTGTTTGGTGTTCCCCCAACTCCCACTCAGAAACCCTCTCTCACCTTTACACCGACCTCTCTCTACGTTGCACACACCGATTTTAAAATCGGTTCCTTTCTTACTTTCGGTGAGCCCTCCCTCACACCGATCCATCCCTAGCGAATCGACGCCCTCCTTCGTCCCATCTAACCTCGTCGCTACCCATCGGAAAGGCATGGAAGTGAAAGGGGGAAAGAGGGAAAGGGCAAAAGGGGAACAAAATGGTTTACTACAGGGTAGAGTACAAAAGACATCACTATCCTAGCTGAGCGATTTAGCCCATGGCTGGCCGAATAAGCCCATATCAAACAGCTGGATATGACTGTGCGAATAAGCCATATCCTTTATACAGTTCATTAAGCTCCTACCGGACAGCCCCTCAATCACATATCCTTATAGGTGGGGGTATAAATATAATTTATTAAAAATAAACATGATTTAAAGCTTTTCATTGAAATTCTCGGTTATTATTCTAACATACTTTTCACTGAATACATAGAATTGTTGATGGATAGCAACAAAATTTGATTCCAACCATGGTATAAATTTTAAAAACAGTTATTCAAAATAAGATAATCTTATGAGACAAACCCTATTAATCGATACATAGGCATCAATCCATATTTTTATACACTTCACTTTGTTCAAATCTTTCATCTCTTCATCAATGTGGGACAACCAAAACTCAACCACAATTCATCATTTGAGAATACTCAATTCTCACTGTGCCACCTCATCACCCCAACGTTTTGCTTTTTAATTCTTTTGATGCCACCTCATCACCCCAAGGTTTTACTTATATATATATATAATTCTTAAAATAAAAATTTATGTTTTAAAGATTTTGAAGTTTCATTATCCATTTGAAATTTTTTTGAAGAATCTATTGGAGATGCTCTAAGGGTTTAAGTTATTGACGAAGCTACCATTTCTTCTAATCATTGATCATATTCACTTTTGTTCTCCCATATTTCTATTCCTGTTTTCTCTCTGGTAGTTTATTTATTTATTTTGAAACCCTTCTTATTGGATGATCATGAAATTTGCCAAAAATCGAAATTCTTGATCAATAGAGGAACGATATCACCATTTTTCCTTTTTTGTTTTTGCAAATTTTCGATTTACAAAAAATTCAAATAGATCCCGACAAATAGTAACATACTAAACTTAAACATAATAAGATGCTCTACATAATTAATCAAGGTACCAAGAAGGACTTCATGTATTTAGCCCCCTCATACTTATCCCACTAACAATAAGGTGACTAGATGAATGAAGACAATGAATCCCAGGGGGTGCCTAGGCTCCTTCTGGTCACCGTCACCGATCATCATATGTATGGCTGTAAACAAACCGAACAATTACGAATACAAGCTTGTTCATGTAAGCTTTTAATGAGCTATGCGAACTTAATAATTTTCAAAACTGAGTTGATATCAAACATTAAAAAATAATCTCGTTTAACTTGATGAACTGAAAAACAAGTTAACCGAATTTCGAGTTCGACCCCATAGATGAGCTTATATAGTTTGAATTTTATCTATTATTTTTTCAAGCCGAAACTCAAACTATTTGCTATCGACTTGGGTCGTTTCGACCCCTTCGGTTAGAAGGCTCGTGTTCCGCCTCTGCATGTTCGTTCGTTTAACTTAACCGAACAAACAAAATGAACACGAATGGTAAACAAATGAAAATCATTGCGTCCGTGTTCGTTTATGTTCGTTCGTTAACATGTTAAATAAACGAACATAAACGAACGAGCTAAACGAACATAAAAGAACAGGTCTAAAGGAACATAAACGAATAGACTTAAACGAACATAAACAAACGAATACCACTACTTGTCATTCAATTAACTATTACACATCAATCTATCTATCTATCTATCTATCTATCTATCTATCTATCTATATATATATATATATATATATATATATATAAATTAATTAATTAAAGGAAGAACCAAAAAGTTGATCAATGAGAAATTTTCTATCATATTTATCTTTTTTCTTATTATTTTGATTTATTTTTAATATATAATCAACACATTAATTGTTAACCATTTCATTTTTCTATTTTTTTAAACTCTATTTTAATTATTCTATAAAGAAAATTTGAATCCACAAATATATAAAATTATATATAATTTTATTTATATCAATACATGCATATTTTTAGTTACATGACAATTGAAAAAATAATAATCAAAATCAATCGGGGTGTGTGTGTGTGTATATATATATATATATATATATATATATATATATATGAGCGATCAAATGCAAGCCATCCATATTTGTACAAACCGTGCAAACCATTCTCATCCATCGATTTCATTGTTTAATCTTATGAATTTTTTTTATGAAATTGTTTCATATTTTACCTTTTTTATGAAGTTGTTTCATATATGGTTATGAAATTGTTTTATATAATACATATGAAATTTTAATAAAACTATTTCATGTATTTCTCTAAAATTAATATAATGAAGATGATAATATCCATCATTAACACCTTTCACAATAAAAATGATTAATCACTCTCTCATAATTACAAAAAAAATAATAAAATGAAAAAAATTATGATTAGTTGAATGAGATTTGTACAGTTTGTACAAATAACGTGGCTTCAAAGTAAACCTCCTATACATATATATATTTTTTCATTTGATCGTTCCTCTACACACACACACACACACACACACATATATATATATATATATATATATATATATATATATGGTGTGTTTGGTATGCAGACTGGGTGGGACGAGACGTAACATAAATAAGGAGTCTCATGTTTGGTGTGTCATGAGACAAAAATGAGATGGCAGAACATGAGACAAAAGTAAAATTGAGTGAGACTATTCTTGAGTTTTTTTGTTCCACCAAAAAAGGTAGAACAACATGAGACTAAATTTGAGATTACAATATTGCCCTTATTATTTGATATCAAAATACAAACCTAATTTAATTGCATCATCTTTCTTCTCTTCCACAACCTCCATTCTCGATTCCAGCCTCCAT